CCCCCCGCCATGACCCCATGGGACATGTGTAAGTGAGGGAAGGAAAGAGACATGGGACGAGGGGGGGGTGAACAGACAAATAGAATGTGCGGGAAAGTAGAGATGGGAGAAAGAATTATGAATCCGTGCACGTTAACCAAACCTAGAAGCAACGAACGAAGGCGGAACACGGACGATGCATGGCGGTCAGAAGGGCTGACCGATGAAATCGCGAGGGGAACATGACAGGTAAGGCCAGACGAATGAAGGCGTGGGAAGACACTTGAACATGGTACATGAGAAGCATCAGCAGAGGAGAACTGCATGCATGAATGCATGTGGGGCGACAGGCAGACAACCAAGCAGAGGGAAATGAGCAAGGAAGGAGGCAGGCAAGGCAGGGCAAGGCAAGCAGGGGCTCGTGGGAAAAGACATGCTGCAAACAACAGCATGACAGCGACCATAACTTGATGCAGGCACGAACGAAATGAGAAGGCAACAAGGCAAAACGACTGACGGGAAGGAATGAAGGGCAGGAAGGAACGATGGCCGGATCAATCAATGAGTTGGGCAGACAGGCAGATGCATGGGCAGGCATGGGAATGCGCAGAGAGGCTGAGCATAGGCGGGCATGAGCAACGGCAGGCCGGAAAGGGTATGACAGCGGTCACGCCCCACAACGATCTACCCACAACTCATGCACACACATGCACCAGACCGACAAGGAGACAAGACGGCTGGAATGAAGGGACAGAAAGAATCCACAAAGGAACGATCGATGAATCGGGCAGGGCTAGGAAAGGGCAAAGCAAGAGGGCAAAGACAAAACGGCATTGGCAGGGAAAGGCAGGACGCCCGACATGGGCAGGGAAAAGGCAGAACGCCCGACATGGGCAGGAAAACGGCAGGACGCCCGACATGGGCAGGGAAAAGGACGCCCGATATGGGCAGGGAAAGGCAGGACGCCCGACATGGGCAGGAAAACGGCAGGATGCCCGACATGGGCGGGAAAAGGACGCCCGACATGGGCAGGGAAAGGCAGAACGCCAGACATGGGCAGGGAAAGGATGCCCGACGTGGAAGGGGCAAGACCAAATAGAAATAGAACATATCTAGCGACAAACGGAACATAAAAACACAAAAATCGTACGGGCATGTACGCATGCGTACATGCCCAAAGCCCTACCCCACGTGTAGTGCCCAGCCTACGTGAGTGACGTGGCGAGTCACAAGGAGCCAGACCAGAACGAGAGGGCCCAGCGCCAAACGACTCGCCGCTGTCTTCAGCCACAGTCTTCAGCCACAGGAGCCACGGTCTTCAGCCACAGAGACAAGACCTGAGACAACACACAACCATGCCACCGTACTTCGCGCTTGCCTTGCGCAGGAGAGAAGGGCACAGGAGCCCCTGACTTCAGCCACAGGGAGGGCGCCAACAGGGGAGCCAGAAGCAGAGCCGGATAGAACGATAACGAGCACCAAGGGATCCAAGAATCACCTGGACAAACACAACAGAAGACAAGCAACGCGTCTGGATCTTCTACCAAGGCGCCATGGCTGAGCCGCATCATCAGGACGAACTCCAGCCACAGAGAGAGCCACCGACAAGCCAGCAGCCGCCAGAAGCAAAGCCGTAGACACACCGCAACGGCATCTCGTCCACAGGCGACGACCACGCCGCGTCAGCATCAGGACGACAGGGCACGAAGGGCGGGACATGCGGGACACACGACCTCCCCGAACCGAAAGGTACGAAACGGGATCAGCAAGCCGGATGAGAAGCGGTAGATGAGGAAAAGACGCACGCGGCTCGAACACAGCGGCAAAGGCGGCCAACTCTGCGAGCTCAGATGAGTGGGAGAGCGGATGTCCCATCTCGCCGCGCCTCGGAACGCGTGATATCGCACTGGTGACAGTGCTCATATCACTAGCAGTGGTCCGTGTAATGGTAAATAGCCTGTATGTGTAGTGGAGAGACGATGTTGTGGAGAGACGACACAAAAGCAGAGAGAGCTGCACCGATGTGAAGGAATGCAGTGGAGAGACGCCAGATCACTATGGAGAGGGTGGGAGAAGTCGGAGAGACGGCTTCGTAGTGCCCTTTTCTCGCCCTTGTTTTCTGCCCCCGCCTGCAAAGCTGTTTGTTTTGTCTGCTGAGACGGCATTGGGTGCTCATGAACACATTTTTTCGTGGGGAAGACGTGCGGCGGTCTTTTCTGGTGCTTTTTCCGCCCTTTCTTTTGCTGTTTTTGTGCCCAGCGTGCTCCATTCGGTTTCGTTGGCTGGTGTGCGATTTCCTCAGCTCTTTCATGAATATTATTCATAGCGGGTTTTTCAATAAAAGCCCCTGAAACCAATTTCATGGCAGTCGTACTTTTTATCTTTTTTTTAGATCTTCTTTTCCGGCCATTTCCTACCCTATCTTTAAAAATTTTGGCCCAACAAAATTTGTTTGAAAAAACTGATTGATCCAAATAGGGGTAAAAACCAAATTCTTCACATGTTGGACCCAAAATGAACAGGATTTGGGAGTCTTCAAAACGATATTCTGTGGTCCCCTCACATGTCCAACGGACTGGGAGGGCACCCTCCTCCATGGAAAGAGTCTCTATCAATTCCGGTACAACCAATTTTTTGTCCCTAATTTTTTGGGATCAGAAAATTACGAGCGGTTTTTGAACCTTATTTTTCAGGCTGCAAGATATATTCTGGTTCAGCAACTTAAATTAAACCAACAACAATCCATCATTCCTCTTGCCTGATGGATAATCTCAAAAGCCTGGCCGATCATAATCGCGATAGGGGGAAGGTCTTCCTGTTAGCTTTTCCGTTTCTCTGATTGATCGTAACATATCCTTGAAGAAAAGCTAATCTCATTCTTTTCTAATACATACCACCTCTTTGATCTGCCAACCGTACCCCCTGGCCTTAAATCAGATATCGCATGATCTCTTAAACTGATGATTTCTATATGGGGCAAGTATTCAACAATGTCTAATGAACTTACACCCTGGGTTTTTCTTAATCTGACTTTTTCTTCAAAACCCATGTCATCAAAGGCAATTTCATCTTCATATAAATAGGAATGGCATGCTATGGGTGAAGAAACATCGATAATTTCTCGACCAATATTGCCTATTTTATGAGAATTTATATTTCCTATTTCTTTCAATGAAAAATTTTCCTGAAAAATCAAGTTAAAATTCTTGATTTGCTCATTAGAAGGGAAGTCATCATCGATAAAAGGAAATTTCAGGGCCTTTTCAAAAAAATAGATTGTGTTCAAGTAGTCCAATAATAAGTTTTTTAACCCACAACTCCTTTGGTTGATATCATGTTCAGCAGTAGGTTCTGATATTTCTTGGCGAGGTTTTCTGTGTCAGATTTTTTTTTTCTAAATCTGGATACTCTAGGTCTTTCGCAGAAGGAAATTTTTCTGCCGTTTCGATATCCGGTGATGTTGTAAATTCTTCTGTTTGATCAAGGTCTTGATGTTCCAATGATATTTCAGTAGAATCCGTTTCTTCTCCAATTGAAGAGTCTGGCGTTACTGAAGGAGAAGTATCTTTGGAATCAATTGATGAAAAAGGATCATCCCAAATAATTATTTTTGAATACCCCATTAAGCTGCAGAGTCCCTTTGGTTCCCTCTCTGTTTGTCTTGGTGTGTTCTCGGATTCTGGTGCTGTTTTCACCGTTTTTTTTCGCTCCTCCTGGACGCCCCTGAGATGGGGGGGTCTGCTGTGATGGCCTCTTTTCTCTAACCCGTGAGGGCTCCGGCTTCGAGCAATGGATGCATTTGTAGCCCTCCGCTCTCCTGGTTCCAAGAGGCAAATGGCCGTGTAGGGGCCCCATTTTTCCCAGATTTTCCCGTAAGGCCGTTCAGTTTCCGTCTACAGCTTCGCCATCCCGCGACTCCCTCCATTGATACACTAATTGCCCCTCCTCAATCGGCCATGCCAGCTCATCGCCAGAGCGTCACAGGGACGAGGCATGTCGAGAACCGTGTGGGCATGTAGCCCTCGTTTTTCACAGTTCTGAAAGGAAAAAGCAGAGCGATGAGTCCTTTTCCTAGACCAAAGATATAAAGGGTATGGTTGCGTTAGGTCCGGTTGCCAAGCTCGCATCGTGAAACTATTATGAGTGAGGAAATCCTCACCCGGATGAGAAAGTCCTCACTGAAAGTCCTCATCGAGTGAGGACTTTCTCATCGAAAGGGCCCATTCCTGCCTCATTTGCTTCATCTGGTCATCCATTTTCCGACCCATCCGCATCCATCTTTTGTCTTCGTCGATTTCAAGCATCTGAGCCTTCCGTCCCCCCCCAGAGGTACTTGTGCTCTCAACCATCGTCAGCAAGCCCACTGCACGGAGCGGCGTCTCCGTGTCTCTCCATCCAACACCTCAGCTCACCGTGATCATCCCAGCCGGCCAGACGGGGCCGAAGACCGCAGGCGAGGGCGCCATGATGAGCGACTAGACACCCACGGGACGGCTCTCCTTCCCTTCACCTGTCTGATGGGCTTGCCCATCTGACAGGGAGTCTGCCCATGTGCTAGTCGACACTGCCGAAGTCTGCCAGGGATGCCACCAACGAGCCGAGCCTGACGCCGGGCGAAGTGCTCAACCACGGAGGATATGGAGGGTATCAGGGGTACATATGTCATACGCTGACGGTCCTACGAGAGAGTGATAGAGAGAGAGTGTGTGAGAGCGAGAGAGAGTCAGGGGCTGCTCTCGGAGATGCTGCTGCTGCTGACGGAAACGGATGGCTACTGGAGCTGACCACTTTGCTAAGGTCTGTTGAGAAGGTCACGGAGCAACAGAGGTGGAAACCTTGTGGAGGAGGAGCCGCTCTTGACGAAGTGACAAACTACATGAAGATGAAGATTCTTACATGTTCGTATGGACGAGACAACCTTGAATAGACTCTGAAGCGGCTTACATCATGATGCCTGAGTCCTTCTCGTGAAACGAATGGAGACCAGCCACGGAAGCAGCCATCCTTGACGAAGGTAAAGGTGGCCAGGGTGACAGCCACTGATGTCTCTCACTATCTGACGCCGATCCCTTCCACCATGTCATAGCTGATCATCGATTCCTTAGGGGAGATTGGGGGACTTCTGCATCGCGACAGGGGTCGTGTTGCTTCACGCGTGGGATGTTCCCGACGCTCGGTGCTGGATCCTGCACACTGTGCAATTGCAGGCGGAGGTGAATGCAGCTTAGCTCGACATGCCTCGTCCCTGTGACGCTCTGGCGATGAGCTGGCATGGCCGACTGAGGAGGGGCAATTAGTGTATCAATGGAGGGAGTCGCGGGATGGCGAAGCTATAGACGGAAACTGAACGGCCTAACGGGAAAATCTGGGGAAAATGGGGCCCCTACACGGCCATTTGCCTCTTGGAACCGGGAGAGCGGAGGGTGGTCACAGAGCCAGGAAGCGTGAGATGCTGAGACATGAAGGAAGGGTTGGCAGAGTGGAAGTGAGACAAGCGAAGGGCTGAGTGGCTTGCACTCGAATCAAGAGGTGTTTTTTTTTCCCTCGTTGACCCTTTGAGTGTTGCAAGCGGTGTCTCTATAATGTGAACCACAGAAACGGGCCTGAGTGGATCGGTTTGGCACTTGATTTGCAACTGCTTTCTCATCAGGGAGGTTCACTTCGAAAGGCGACAGAGATTGGCCATTGTGCATCAATATAGATGCCCATGCAGGAAGCAGACGAAGGTATCGGTTGACACCTGGCTGACACCCGGTGAGGGTACCTAGGTGAGGGCTGCGGAGGCCTCCGTATGTGCACGTTTTGCGGCGGTCATGGAGGCTACCACCACTTGGATGACATAACTTCCTCACTCGGAAGATACAAAGGGGGAAATGATAGACGAGTGCATGCACACAGGCCAATGGGTGGCAAGGGAAGGCTTACAGAGAAGCGAAGCGACGGCGGGAGAGGGACGAAGTCGGTTGACCTCACCCGAAGAAGGCGCAGAGCCTAGACAAGAGTCAGCAGAGAAGGGCCGCTCGCAGGTGGGTGAGCCGGTAGGGAGTGAGTAGCCTCCCCTTAGAAAGCTCCGTTGCGTAGAAGCAAGCCTGCCGAAGATGTAAGACCCACCTCTGTCGGCCGCGTAAGTAGGGATGCCCTGACTCACCCTCTGGCCACTCCTCGAGCGGTGAACTCGCCAGCAGAGGCGGGGCAACACGGGGCGACCACCTTTCCGCAGCGTAAGAGGCCTCCCATCTCAATACGCTACCCCTGTGCTTCCCACGCTGTCCTTGCACACGACAGCTCAGATCAGTTTTACGGATCTTGCTCTAAGCTGAAAGCTGAGCTGGAGGGTGGTTATACAGCCCCAGTGTCACGTCGGTAAACCAACTTTTTTTCTAGAACGTTTTTTCAAGATCTGTCTTCGGATATCTGTGGAGGGGGTCACTGCGAGGAACGAGTTTGCTTCGAGCCTCAAATCCGTTCACGCGTTCAAAACGGCGGCAAAAACCCGGACAATCGGTTTTCGGCTGTTTTCTCCCGGGTTTCTGGTGCGTTCGCCGCGCAAGTCTGTGTGTGAGTGCTCCTTTGTCTGCTCCGTCCTCACGCAAGCGACTGTCGATCTGCGCTCTGTGAAACACGAGAACAAGCTACCGAAAGTTGACGGTGCCGTCAACCCAAATCAGCACGATTGGGTCAATGTATGATAGATTTCGCTACGTTGTGTTCACACGGAAGCGCGCATCGCTTTTCGTTCTGTTAACAAGGAAGAACCAGTCACTGAAAGGTTACACAGTCATCAACCATCAGTCACACAATGCATCGTTCACGGCACAACTGCTTTACGGTCTCTCCGTACGCAAGCGGCCGTCGCTTTTCGTGTTGCAAAGGAGACCATACCCGCTGAAAACTTGCTCACTGCTAGATCCACCGCAATCTCCTTGCAACGCTTCAAGGTCGATCTGGTTGATGAAATATATGCGCACGGACGCTGCCAGAGACGACTCTGGTTCTAGTCGCAATTGCGCCCTGTCGTTCGGGTAAAAGGCGGCAAGCGCACTGGTGTCGGTTACACGGAATTCGGCGATTTGTTTCGGGACTCTCACTCATTCGATGCAAAAGCGTGTATGTCTGATACATTCCGTCATGCTGTGTGTGAACGTCAGCGGTCATCGCCCTGCGCCGTCTTGAGAAAGGGAAGTAGGCACCGAACGTGGGCACAGCTGTGGACCTAAACCAGCACGATTGTGTTAATGCATGAAACAACCTTCTATGCTGTATTCACACGTACGCGGCCACTGCTCATGACCGTATCATTGTGTGAAAAAATGGGAAGACGGGTGTCGGTTACACGGAACTTGGTTGTATGTACCGACCCCAGTTCATTGCACACTCTCTTTCATTAATGCCATGCCAAGCACATGTACTCTACGTTTTGCAGTCTGTGTCTGCACGCTGCTTTGCGCCGTTTGAGACAGAGACCCATGTGTGAAAGCTGACAGCACTTGTGGACCGAACCCAATATAAGTGTGTATATCTTGCTGTGCTGAGTTCACACGCAAGCGGCCAGAGCTACGACGCTGTCAAAAAGCTTTTTCAAATTTCAACCGCCACCCAACGGTAGCTGCATTGTTGTTTCGGAATGTCGTGCATTAGCGCGAGGGAGTTTGCAAGGCGGGCTCATTCTCTCGCCATCCAGTTTTTCTGCTCCGTGTCCCTGTGGTTCATGTGAGAGGCGAGATCCATCATTGATTGTTGATTGACAAGCAAGCACACAATCGTGTGACTCGAGAGAATGACAGAGTGATTCGTTCGTTCATGCCTTATCAGGCGGCACGTCCCATTAATATTGCAGAATCACTATCATCACACTGATGAGTGAGACCTTTAAAGAGGAGCAGAGCGATCACAGGAGTGCACGCTGAAGTCTGAAAAAGTCCGTTTCAACTTTCAGGTGATAACGAATTGATCCCGTTAAGCATGCTTTCGCACCCCGCTCTGTTCTTTTGCAGCCACGCATGTGCTTCAGCTCGCCCTCCGTTGAGCGCCACCCCCGGCCAGGCCCGTGTAAAAGCCGAAAGGTGCACAGTGTTCTGTGAGCTTTTCTTTATGTGTCGTTGTCAAGTGCCAAGCTCTTCTACAATAACCACGATTTCAGTTCTGTCAGTAGACCACATGGTGTGACCAACCAAAAAATACTAAAGAGTCGTCTGAGACACTCTGAGAGACGGCTTGTTGCGATGATTGGGGTTTGTCAGAGAGGGAAAAAGATGCTCTGCTCACTTGTGTAAAGTCCTATATGCTAAACAAAGACCCAACAAGGAGAGAATGTAGAGGTTTGACGGAAAGCCGACACTCTGATGATCGAACATGGAGGGTCCTTCTCAGGCCTGACACTGCCTCAGCTTCGAAAACCGTTCCCGAGTTTTAGAGGAGCGTGTCTCCTTTCCGTGCATCGAAGTAATCCGAGCTCTGATTACAGCATCCATATACCCTTTCCTTACATTCTCTGCTCCGTTTAGGTC